GCCAGCGCGTGGTCAAGGCCAAACTGGCCCTGGTGAGCAGGGGCGGGGCCAGCGCGGGGTGGGCGGGGCCAGCGCCTCCTCGCCCTCCCCGCAGGTCTACCCGCGTGGCCTGCCGGAGGAGGAGCTGCGGCGCATCACCTCGCTGGTGTACCTGTACTCCCTCGCCGAGATCCGCCAGTGGAACATCACGTCCAGGGACACGGTCGTGGCCCTCTTGGCCTCGGATGTGGCCCTGGACAACCAGACCGAGGTGGGGGCAGCAGGGCCCCAGCCCTGCCCCCTGCTCCCCGTCCCTGCTCACCCTGGCCCCCCACCCCCTTACCCACTGGCCCTGTCCCCCAATCCTGGAGCTCTGGTTCCTGACGCCCCGCACCCCTGATCCACTCACCCCCACCTCCCAACCCCGCCCCACCCAGGCCGTGCTGCAGAAGTTCCTGGACCACAATGGCACCCTGACCGGCGCGCTGCTGGTGGCCATCGGGGGCTCCCGCCTCTGCTGGATGAGCCCCCAGCAAATCCAGACCATCCGGCCCTCAGAGTTCCGGTGAGCCAGTCAGACCCCGGCTCCAGGCTTCGCAGCCACTGGGGGGGGCCGCAGCCTCCACCGCCCTGCGCCCCGCCGCTCCTCCACCCCACGCTGCTCCCTGCATCCCCGTTCACTGGGGGCCAGTGGTTAGAGCGGGGCCTCCCCAGTCCAGTGCGGCCCCATTTCCCTTCCCCCCAAGTCAGAAAGGCTGTTTCCAGCTGAGGCCATGCGGCCTTAGGTTCTGGGTGGACGGGAACTTTGGAGAGACGTTGCCCAGCTGTGCCAGCGAGCCCGAGGACACCTGTGGGGGTGCCCGGAGGCAGGCAGCCTGGCTCAGCTTCACCCTCCACAGGTTGGCGGGGCCACTGGACATCTCTGCCTGCCCCCAGAGCCGGAAAAACGTGCTCTTTGCCAAGGCCCGAGAGGCCTTCGGCGGCACCAGGACCACAGCTGCCTACTACCGCCTCATGCGCCCCTACTTAGGTGAGCCCCCCCCGCGAGTGGGCGACGCCCGCGCAGCCTCCCCCCCCTCACAGCTCGCTTGCCCCAGGCGGCGCCCCTGTGGAGGAGCTGTGGCAGCTGGCCCAGGCCAATGTCACCCTGGACATCGACACCTTCACCAACCTGAACCCCCAAGTGTTGCAGGTGGGCTGGGGGCCCTGGGGCACCCGCAAGTCGGGGGTGCGGTGCTGGGGACCTCCCTCTTGCCAGGCACCCCCACAGCCCCTCCTTCAGGCAGACCCCCAGGTCTCTGCCCCACGGCCTCGCCCCTGCAGAACCTGAGCTTGAACAACGTGACCAGACTCCTGGGCCAGAACGTGGGGGACCTGCAGAGGGCACGCAGCCACCCGGCTGTCAGCTCCTGGCTCAGCAGCCTCAACACCACGGCCCTGGGCCAGCTGGGCATCGACAATGACCTCGCAGGGCCCGCTGACCCTGGCCACGCCCCCGGCGGGACGCCCCCCATGATGCCCCTGGCTCTCCAGCTCGCCCCCACCGCAGGCCTGCCAGGGAACATCATCGGGGAGGAGGCCAGCTCAGGTGCGCCCGCGCCCC